TTAGCAGTATTTCTATATTCAAGACCAACTTGAATATTTTCATTTTTACAGCCAGTTCCCAAAAGCTTCTCATAATTAAGAATGAAAACAAGTGCTACAGTATGAACATGTCTAATTATTGGGCATTTATTTTGATCAGCTTTGTTTCTGAAGTTGTTGTATCTCTAGATTTAGAATTTTGCATTAATTCACTTCATTATAACAAATGCTTTATATAGGAAATAAGTTTGTGAGGATTCTGAAACAGAATAAGACAGGGGCTAGGTATCCAGAACATATGTCTTAAGCGTGTCTTGTTAACATTTAAACTGCCATTTATTTTGGGTTTATTCAGGAAAAGCAGAGAACTGCAAGTAGGGACAAGCAAACTAAGGCAAAGACGTAGACAAGTCTGGAGAACACAGGAGAGGAATGCTCTCTTATAGAGGAAAGGAGTGGGGGAAATTGGGAGGGCTGTTACAAACAAAAAGTCCATCGGAGTAAACTGGGAGTTCAGAATATAGTGCCTATTCATTGGCTGAGTTGTGACAGTCTCTCATTGGCTGGGCTATTGTCAGGGCAGGAGAAAACCTTTCTTCCTCCTGCTGGGATAATAAAGTAGTAGCTAAAGTAGTGTCCACTTGGAAGGTACAACAGGTGCTTTTCTTGTTGGGTCTGCAGTTGACCCAGTGGTAGGGTGTGAGAGCTCTCCTTGCCAAACGAGGTTTCCTTTTATTAATTTTCAGTCTTTAAGTCACATATAATATATAGTCCTAGAAAATAAGAGTTACAATTATTATACGCTAAATATTGATGATGTTGATTTAAGACTGAAATATCATTAGTGAATTATTATAAGGCTTTACAAAAGGCACTGAATTTCATTCTTAGAATCTCCCCACAGTACAACTTATTCTTTCTTCTTAGAACCATAATGCATCCAATAACTACACTAAAAGATCTATCACATCTTTATTCATAGTAGTTGTTTTATAGTGCAATAATTGAGAAGAAAAGCACTAGCTTTTCAGTAATCCCATAAAATGATTTTCATTTTGTAGGACATGTGCTTGCCTATTGCCCAAACTGCCAGTTCTTCCCAAGAGCATTTTAAGACCTGGTCACTTATGAGGCACCTGGGTGGCTCAGTTGGTTAAGCATCTGCCTTTGGCTGAGCTCATGATCCTGGGGTCCTGAGATGGAGTCCCTCATTTGGCTCCCTGCTCAGCGGGGAGCCCGCTTCTACCTCTCCCAATGCCCTCCCCCCCAACTCATGCTCTCTCTCTCTCTCATATGCTCTCTTGCTCTCTCTCAAATAAATAAATAAAATCTTAAAAAAAAAAAAAAGACCTAGTCACTCTTGGGGCACATGGTTGGCTCAGTCAGTTAAGCGTCCAACTCTTGATCTCAGCTCAGGTCTTGATCTCAGAGTCCTGAGTTCAAACCCTGTGTTGGGCTCTATGCTAAGCAAGGAGCCTACTTTAAAAAATAAAAAATAAAATAAATAAATAAAAAGAAAGAAAGAAAAAAAAAAGATCTAGCCACTCTATTTGGGTATGAATGCAGCTGTATTTGCTCTTGGTAGTCTGTAAGATAGTTCAAGAATCTACAAGTGTGCTTAAAAATAGAAATGATATCTTCCTAATCAAATGAAAACTTTACATTTTGTGAACATGGGGGTCAGAAGGTTGTTAATATGATCAGAAGGGTTCTGAACTCCTAAGGAAATAGTTATTGTTTTTAAAAATAATCATTGCATATTGACATCTGTTATTCTCATTTTGGTTTTTATATTTTCTGTTTATTTCAGATGTATCCCAAGTACCTAGACCACTGTTCTTTAAATGGGTTTTAAATTTAGACATTTCTTGTTTATTTCTTTTAACTGAAGTATAGTTGACACAGAAGTTTATTTTATTAAATGTTGTTTTGCCATCCTATGAGATGATCATATAGGTTTTCGTCTTTCACTTGTTATGATTACAGAAGTAATAGATTTTCTAATGACAGTTGTTCAAAGAACCCAAATCCTCTTTACCTAAAAGAAACTTATTGAAGGATATTTGGTAGCTCACAGAATCTCCTCAGAGGCCAGAAAGACAACCTGGAAGCCACACAATTTGGAACAATGCCCAAATCACACAACTGGACCATCCCAGTGGAGAGACCACTGCTGCAGAGCAGACACCCAGTTTGCACTGCTGACGCAGGGCTGCAGACACCACCCCTAGAACATTTGCTCTACTGCCTCTGGAACTGGATGCCTCTGCTGTCATCCTTACCATTTCCAGCCATTAGCTTCTGAATTAAAGACTTGTGCATGTGCATCTGGTTGGCTAACCAAGGGACACTGGCAAGTGAGTTTCTGGCTTCTATCTTGAAGACACACAGATGCATAAAGTGAAGAATTTCCTAGACATAGGGTGTTTAAAGTTGCTGTGTTGCCAAAAAGAATGACAGATCAAGGAACCTTTAGATTTGTTTAATAATAAAGATACCTGTTAGCCTGCCTAATTAGGCAGAGTTCAGTGAACTTAATGCTGAATTACAACTTTAAAATGAAATGGAACGTGGCTGTGTAGATAAATAAGTACATAAAGAAAATGGACATCTCCAAGTATGTATCTAAAACACATATAACACTATGGGTCTGTGTACGGTTGTGGGGAGTGAGGAATGGGGAGTAGTTAAGGCTGAAACACAAGTTTGGGGCAGCTGGATGATAATGATACTCTTCACTGAGATAAGTAACAGGAGATGGAGATGTATACATGTGTGTTTGTGGAGGGGGAGTTAGAGGACATTTTGAAGTTCCTGTGGGACATCCAATTAAAGAAGTCTAGAAGGAAGTTAGATATCAAGGTCTGAGACAGATCCAGGTTAAAGATACATGGTGAGTTGTCACCATGTATATGGTCATTAAAGTCAAGGGCTTGGTTGAGATCATCCAGCCGATATGTGACAAGAGAAGAAAAAGAAGGTAACTAGAGAAAACCCTTGAGGAACACAGATATTTAAGGAATGGTCACAAAAAGAGGGGCCAGAGTAGAGGTTATGTTGCAGGAAGGCAAGATGGTATAGACCAATGAGGAGGCAGAGGTGGGATGGTGGCTCAGAATAGTGGTGGCAGCAGAGAGAGAAGAGATCTTTAGGAAGATTTAGTGATGGAGCGGGTGTGAGAGATGACACAGAGGAAGTAAATGATGATACCTATTTTGCTGACTTGAACATCCAAGAGGTTGGAGGTGTAGTTTCTTGAGTTAGGGAACGTTGGGAGAAGCAGGTTTGGAAAGGGAGATAAAGTCAGAATTGAGGAGGTTGATTTAGATGGCTTTGAAATATCCAAGTAGATTTTTATTTCATTTGGTAAATATTTATCAATTACCTACTTCATACTGAATGTTCATCAAGTAGATAGTGGGGTCTAGAACTCTAGGCCTGGCTAGAGGTCTTGGCTGCCAAAGTGCTTTTAAGAGTTGCCAGAATTTGGGGATGCCTGGGTGGCTCAGTCAGTCAAGCGTCTGCCTTCAGCTCAGGTCATAATCCCAGGGTCCTGGGATCGAGTCCCACATCAGGCTCCTTGCTCAGCGGGGAGCCTGCTTCTCCCTCTGCCTGCCACTCCCCCTGCTTGTGCGCTCTTTCTCTAACAAATAAATAAATAAAATCTTTAAAAAAAAAAAAGAGCTTCCAGCATTTGGATGGCATTTGAGGCTGTCAGCATAGATGGGATCGTATAGAGAGAGTGAGAAGAGGGCCTGGGATCCAACCCAGGGAACCCCAACATTGATGGGTAGAGAAAGAGAGAGTGATCAGAGAGGTAGGGAAAAAACTGGATTACTATGATAGCCAGACTCTAGGAGTAGAGTTTTGAGGAAAACCATGTGGTTATTGGGGCCAAATAATACCAAGAAGTGAAGCATAAAAATGATTGAAAACTTTCCATTGGATTTATGAGCAAGGAAGTCATTAGTTATCTTAATGAGGATGAATTTCTAGAATTGGGAGTGTTAGAACAAAGGATGTTTGATAAATACTGCCAAATTGTTCTCCAAAGAAGTTTTTACTAATTTATACTCTTTCCATCAGTATAGGTGGGTCCTGTTTCCTCACACTCTCATTAATAATGGGTATTATAAGTCTTAATCTTTATACGATGGATAGAAGAAAATAGTATCTTATTACCTGAATGTCCATTTCTTTGATAATTTGTGAGGCATTTATTTTTCTTCTAGGAATTACTTAGATCATTTTTCACTTGTCCATTTTTTTTTTTAAGATTTTTTATTTATTTGACAAAGATAGACACAGCGACAGAGGGAACACAAGCAGGGGCAGTGGGAGAAGGAGAAGCAGACTCCCCGCTGAGCAGGGAGCCCGATGTGGGACTCGATCCCAGGACCCTGGGATCATGACCTGAGCCAAAGGCAGACGTTTAACGACTGAGCCACCCAGGCACCCTCACTTGTCCATTTTTAAAAGATTTTGTTTATTTATTTACTTATTTATTTAGAGAGTGGGTGAAGGGACAGAGGGAGAGAGAGAATCTCAAGCAGACTCAGCACTGAGTCCAGAGCCCGACAGGGGGCTTGATCCCACAACCCTGAGATCATGACCTGAGCAAAAATCGACTCCGATACCCAACCGACTGAGCCACCCAGGCACCCCTCACTTGTCCATTTTTAACTGGGGCATTTTATCTTCTAATTGCTTTTTTTAAATTTATTTTTTATTATGTTCAATTAGCCAATATCTAATACATCATTAGCTTTTGATGTAGTGTTCAACAATTCATTAGTTGCATATGCTTTTAAGAGCTCTTTGTATTATTAGGGTTAGTGAACCTCTGCATAAGATAATATGTATCTTTTAAAATATTTTAATTCTTTAATTACTCTTACAGCTTAGGGCAGAACTCTGAAGTCTCCTCCATTCTACCTTTTTCAGTGTTTCCAAGTTTACCCTTTGTACCACAAACATTGGTGTAGATGATTAAGAGGAACTACTGTTCATTGGTCTTTTAGGAACCTGTTACATTCAAGGATGTGGCCATGGACTTCACCGAGGAGGAGTGGGGGCAACTAGACCCTGTACAAAGGGCCCTGTACAAAGAGGTGATGCTGGAGATCTATGGCAACCTGGTCTTAGTGGGTAAGGACAACTACTCTTTGGAGGATTTTTGTTTCATGGTTGTTAAAACCTGTGGGCTCTTAAAGTATTTAACTAAGCAAGGGCTTGAGATTCAAATATCAGAGTGTCCAAATCACTGTTTTTAAAAATTTGATTATTGAAGTATAGTTGACATAAAATGTTATATTAGTTTCAGGTGTACAACATGGTGATTTCACAGTTCTATACATTACACAACACTCACCGGGATAAATGTACTTACCATCTGTTGCCATGCAGTGTTATTACAATATCATTGACTATCCCTATTCTTTAGTATTCATCTCCATGATTTATGTTTTTTATAACAGGAAGTTTGGACCTCTTAATCCCCTTAGCCTACTTTGCCCCTCCTCCCTCCCCTCTGGCAACTACCAGTTTGTTCTGTGTTTATGAAAGTGTTTTCTGTTATTGTTGTTGCTGCTTAATTTTTTTTTTTTTTTTAGATTCCACATGTAAGTGAAATCATATAGTATTTGTCTTTCTTTGTCTGACTTATTTCACTTAGTATAATACTCTAAGTCCATCCATGCTACTGCAGATTTTCAGATCTTATTTTTTATGGCTGAGTAATATTCCAGTGTGTGTGTGTGTGTGTGTGTGTGTGTGTGTGTGTACTTCATCTTCCTTATCCATTCGTCTATCAGTGGACATTTGGATTGCTTCCATTATCTTGGCTGTTGTAAATAATGCTGCAATGAACATAGCGCTGTGTATATCTTTTTGAATAATATTTTTGTTTATTTTTAAATACCCAGTAGTGGAATTACTGGATCATATAATAATATTTTTGTTTTTAAATTTTTGAGGAATCTCTGTACTGTTTTCCACAGTGGTTGCAACCAGTTTGCATTCCTACCAACAGGGCATAAGGGTTCCCTTTCCCCCACATTCTTTTTTTTTTAAGATTTTATTTATTTATTTGACAGAGAGAGACATAGTGAGAGAGAGAACACAAGCAGGGGGAGTGGGAGAGGGAGAAGCAGGCTTCCCATGGAGCAGGGAGCCCAAGGTGGGGCTTGATCCCAGGACCTGGGGACCATGACCTGAGCCGAAGGCAGCCGCTTAATGACTGAGCCACCCAGGTGCCCCTCCCCCACATTCTTGCCAACACTTGTTATTTCTTCTCTGATACTAGCCATTCTGACAGGTGTGAGGTGATAGCTCATTTTGGTTTTGAATTGCATTTCCCTGATGAGTGATGTTGAGCATCTTTTCATGTGTCTGTTGGCCATCTGTATGTCTTCTTTGGAACAATGTCTAATTAGGTCCTCTGTCCATTTTTTAATCAGATTTTTTGTTTTTTTGGTGTTGAGTTCTATAAATTCTTTATATATTTTGGATATTAGCCCCTTATCAGATATGTCATTTGCAAATACCTTCTCCCATTCAGTAGGTTGCCTTTTTGTTTTGTTGATGGTTTTCCTTGCTGTGTAAAAGCTTTTTATTTTGGTATAGTCCCAATAGTTTATTTTTGCTTTTGTTTCCCTTGCCTCAGGAGACATATCCATAAGTACGTTGCTAAGGCCAAGGTTCAAGAAATTACTGCCTGTGTTTTCTTTTAGGACTTTTATGGTTTCAGGTCTCATATTTAGGTCTTTAATCCATTTTCAGTTTATCTTTGTGTATGGTAAAAGAAAATGGTCCAGTTTCATTCTTTTGCATGTAGCTGTCCAGTTTTCCCAGCACCATTTATTGAAAAGATTGTCCTTTCCCCATTGTATACTCTTGCCTCCTTTGTGATAGACTGACCATATAGGCGTGGGTTTGTTTCTGGGCTCTCTATCCTGTTCTGTTGATCTGCATGTCTGTTTTTGTGCCAGTACCATACCATTTTGATTACTATAGTTTTGTAGTATATCTTGAAACCTGGGATTGTGATAAATCTAGCTTTGTTCCCAAGATTGCTTTGGCTGTTCAGGGTCTTTTGTGGTTCCATATGAATTTTAGAATTATTTGTTCTGCTCTGAAAAATAATATTGGTATTTTGATAAGGATTTCATTGAATTGGTAAGTTGCTTTGGATACGATGGACATTTTAACAGTATTAATTCTTCCAATCCATGAACATGCTGTCTTTCCATTTGTTTGTGTTATCTTCGACTTCTTTCATCAATGTCCTATAGTTTTCAAAGTATAGATCTTTCACCTCTTTGGTTAAGTTTATTCCTAGGTATTCTTTTTAGTGCTACTGTAAATGGGATTATTTTCTTAATTTTCTTTCTGCTACTTCATTATTAGTGTATAGAAATATAACAGATAAAAAAGGAAATGCAACAAATATCTGTATATTAATTTTGTAACCTTCAACTTTACCGAATTCATTTATCAGCTCTAGTAGTTTTTTGTTTTGGTGGAGTTTTGGATTTTAAACATATAGTACCATGTCATCTGTAAATAGTGACAGTTTTACTTCTTCCTCATCAATTTGGATACCTTTTCTTTTCTTAGTCTGATTGCTGCAGGTAGCACTTCCACTATTATGTTGAATAAAAGTGGGAGGAGTGGACATCCTTGGCTTATTCCTGATCTTAGAAGAAATGCTTTGAGTTTTTCACCATTGAGTATGATGTTAACTGTGGGTTTGTCATTTATGGACTTTATTATGTTGAGGTATCTTCCCTTTAAACCCACTTTGTTTAGAGTTTTTATCATGAATGGATGTTGTACTTTGTCAAATGCCTTTTCTGCATCTATTGAAATAATCATGTGGTTTTTTGTTTTTTGTTTTTTTTAAAGATTTTATTTATTTATTTGACAGAGAGAGACACAGCGAGAGAGGGAACACAAGCAGGGGGAGTGGGAGAGGGAGAAGCAGGCTTCTGCCGAGCAGGGAGCCCGATGCAGGGCTCGATCCCAGAACCCTGGGATCATGACCTGAGCCGAAGGCAGACGCTTAACAACTGAGCCACCCAGGCACCCCTAATCATGTGGTTTTAATGCTTCCTGTTTTTAATGTGATGTATCACATTGACTGATTTGAGAATATTGAACCACTTCTGCATCCTTGGAATAAATCCCACTTGATCATGGCGAATGATTTTTTTAATGTATTGTTGAATTTGATTTGCTAATATTTTGTTGAGGATTTTTGCACCTGTCTTCATCAGGGATGTTGGCTGTAGTTTTCTTTTTTTTTTTTATAGTGTCTTGTTTGCTTTTGTATCAGGGTAGTGCTGGCCTCATAGAATGAATTTGGAGGCTTTCTTTCCTCTTCTATTTTTCGGAATAGTTTAAGAACAGGTATGTTCTTTAAATGTTTGGGAAAATTCACCTGTGAAGCTATGTGGTCCTGGACTTTTGTTTGTTGGGAATTTACCAGTTCAGTTTTGTTAATTGAATCGGTAGGAATCAGTCTGTTCAGATTTTCTATTTCTTCCAGATTTAGTTTTGGATGATTGTGTTTCTAGGAATTTATCCATTTCTTCTAGGATGTGCAATTTGTTTGAGTATAATTTTTCATAGTAATGTCTTATAATTCTTCATATTTCTGTGATATCAGTTGTTACCTTTCCTCTTTTGTTTCTGATTTTATTTATTTGAGTTCTCTTTTATTCCCAATGAGTGTGGCTAAAGGTTTCTCAATTTTATCTTTTCAAAGAACCAGTTCTTGATTTCATTAATCTTTTCTATTATTTTTTTATCTGTATCATTTATCTCTACTCTTTATTATTTCCTTCTTTCTACTAACTTTTGGCTTTGTTCTTTTTCTTTTTAAAGATTTTATTTATTTATTTATTTAGAGAGCACACGAGCAGGGAAGGGGCAGAGGGAGAGAGAGAATCCCAAACAGACTCCTTGCTGAGTGGGGAGCCCGTTGCAGGGCTCGATCTCACGACCCTGAGATCATGACCTGAGCTAAAAGCAAGAGTCAAATACTAAACTGACTGAGCTACCCAGGCACCCTAGGCTTTGTTCTTTTTCTAATTCCTTTAGGTGTGTGTAAGGTTAAATTGTTCACTTGAGGTTTTTCTTATTTCTTTCAGTAGGCCTGCATTGCTATAATCTTCCCTCTTAGAACTGCCTTTGCTGTGTTTCAGAGATTTTGGACCATTGTGTTTTCATTTTCATTTGTTTCCAGATATTTTTTTAAATTTCCTCTTTGATTTCTTCATTAACCCCTTGGTTGTTTAGTAGTGTGTTGTCTACTACTCCATGTGTTTGTGTTTTTTCCAGTTTTTTTCCTCATAGTTTTCTAGTTTCATATTGTTTTGGTTGGAAAAGATGCTTGATATGATTTCAATCTTCTTTAAATTTATTGAGACTTATTTTGTGGCCTAACATGTAATCTCTCCTGAAGAATGTTCCATGTGCACTTGAAAAGAATGTATATGCTGTTGTTTTTAGATAGAACATTCTGTATCTATCTGTTAGGTCTAGCTGATCTAATGTGTCTTTCAAGCCACTGTTTCCTTTTGATTTTCTGTCTGGATCATCTATCCATTGATGTAAGTGGGGTGTTAAAGTCCCCTACTATTATTATCAGTTTCTTCCTTTATGTCTCTTAATATTTGTTTTATGTATTTAGGTGCTCCTATGTTGGGTACATAGATATTTACAATTTACAATTGCTACACCCTCTTGTTGGATTGATTCCTCTATCATTATGTAATGCCCTATTTGTCTCTTGCTTTAGCCTTTGTTTTAAAGTTTGTTTTGTCTAGGGCATCTGGGTGGCTCAGTCGGTTGAGCATCCAACTCTTGATTTTTGCTCAAGTCATGGGCTCAGTGTCGTGGGATTAAACTCCATGTTGGGCTCTGTGCTCAGTGTGGAGTCTGCTTGTCCTTCACCCTCTGCTTCTCCCCTTCCACTCTCTCTCTCAAATAAATAAATAAATAGCTATTTAAAAATTTTATTTATTTAAAGTCTATTTTGTCTGATATCAGTATTGTTACCCCAGCTTTTTTCCCCTTCTTATTGCAAGGATATAATTTTCCATCCTTTCACTTTCATTCTGTGTGAGTCTTTAGGTCTGAAGTGA